TCGGGGAGCAGAGCTATTAGATTTGATGTGATGCTAACAAAGAGATAGTTCTTGCCCCAGAGAGCTTGCTGTCCTAAAAAAAATCTGTAGTTTTATTCTGATTTTTACTGGTTGTTTACACAACACTCTACCAGTCCCTGAGCTTTCCTATTGCACCGCAGACAATTAAAACAATGAAATACTCAGTTAAATGAAATTAATATGCATTTACAGCTTAACTGTTTAAAAACAGTTTGTGTTGTGAAACTTTTGTTAACAATATTATTGTCTACTTTGAAATGAATTTTGCAATAAAAACAGTGAACAAAACATTTCTTTTTCTCAAACTCTCAGCATTTATTCATTGAGTCCTGAGAGATCTTTTAGAGAATTTTCAAGTAAATATCTTAATAACTTATGCTATCATGTATATTTAAAATTAATCATTTAAGATAAATTTTTAGTATCTGAATATATAATGTTTGCCTTTCCAATGCCAAGTGAGAAAAATATTTTAGCTATTCTTGTATGTACTCATTTGAAACAATCCAAATGTAATCAGAATTGTACTGTACACTCTGGTTCAGGTTAATGCCTAGCCCTGTGAGGTTAGGCGCCCTAATGATCATAACCAGGCATTTCTGTATCATAACATTCAAATTATTTTAACTTTAACTTAACCCTAGACCTATCTTGTCTGAGTTTCTTGTGATTCAGATAGTCAGCTTCCACTTCTCAAAGAAACTGATGTTGCAAATGTGACATCCTCTTTTTTTTTTCCCTTGTCACTGTCTTCCTTTCCATCATCTTTTCTCTGATTTGATGTATTTTGGGTCTCTACACCACATGAAGAAAAAAACAACAAAAGCAAACAATAAAATTAGGATGTATATAATTTACTCTTTTTTGCATCAGGAAGAACTCTATTGCTATAGTAGAATACTTTCTATATAATAGTGTCTCTATATTTTTTTTTCAGCTGGACCACCACTCACTTCTTCCTTTGAAGAGGTAGTCCTGTACTGGTAGCACTGATGAAGTGTGCCACCCCAGCAGGCTCTGTCTGAGGCAGAAGGAATGTGTTCTGTGGGCAGGGAGAGGCTACCACCACCTACACTGGGCAAAGCCAGTGCAGGTGGAAGCTTCTTGCTCTGACTTTTCTTTCCTTGTCATTGAAAAACTGCAGAGTGCGTAACTGCCAAGATGGAAGGGAACAACCTCCATACTTTGGTCTTAATGTTGTAGTGTTTCAGCGCCTTAAAAACTTATTTGTATTAATTTGTTCGGTTCCCTCTGGAGGTCAGGCACTGCTGTCTCGTTAGCAGCTGGAGCTCCCTGGCTGTGGGTGGCGGTGACACAGTGTTTCCCTCAGGTGTTCCAGCCTCTCTTTAAATCACATCCCTGAAGGTATTGGTTACTTTCCCTTCTTATTACCTGCTGTTGTCACTTCTAACAGGAGTTCTTGTTGCCGTGTGATCCATTGTGCTACTTGATTAAACTGCAGCCACGAGGCTGCGATTCAGAATGAATCCACGCAGAGGTAGAATGCAGGGCTGAAATAAATATGTATGATCTTCGGAAGCAGTGCTTCTCAATCTTTCTGAAGTTGAGTGGCACTTGAGAAAATTGGCTGTGCTCTGTACCTCGCTGAGGTCAGCTCTGAACGCACAAGGGGCTGGCACCTTGCTCTTTTGTTAAGTACCTGTGTACTCGCGGGCTTTATGCAGATTGCAGTAAATCTGCTTCTAATGTGGTCGGCTGCACGGCCCCGTTCTGGGTGTCATCCTGGAAGCAGTGTGATAGGCACTGTGTGCTGAGTAGGATTTCCTGTGGGAGAATCCACGTGTGCTTGGGTGTAGTGCAGGAATAGTAGGTTGAGCCTTTGGAGGAGTGCTGGATGTGTTACACCTGTGAGACACAAGGATGCAATTCATGAACAGCGCCTCTGTCCCATGCATCCTGGGAGTACTGCAATTTCTGTGCATTCCCTATACAGAAAAAACTGCTTGTTTGCTTGTTTTCTGGATAAGGTATGTGTGTACATACTGTGCAATGCTGTAAGTACGATAGCTTGTGGATGTACCTTACTGTGTGCATGTATGGTGAGTCTCTCCCTCACTTTGCATGGGTGTACGTACATTGTGTCATTGATACACATGCTCCAAATGTGATACTTTCCTGAAAAGCTGTGGTTTGTGTGCTGTATAGCTGATCCTTACATGCAATCACGTACGGGATTTCTTCCTATAAAGCAGCCTGGATAGAACTACAGAACTACTGGAGCTGGAAATCTGGATAAAATATTGGGGGAGAAGAAAAGACAGTATCTATTAACAGGAAATCCTAGAAATGCTGTGGCCCAAGTTTAAAAAAAAAAGAAAAAAAAAAGAAAAAAGAAAAAGTACATTTTCAGCTCTTCTTATCTGGTCAAGCAGGGAATGAAGGGGAGGACACCCAGATATGCAGCAATCCAACTATGAGTGCTCTGAGGAGCACAGTGCAGGACATCTGAAAACCTGGATTCCCTTCTGACCAGATCCTGAAGTGCTTGCATTAAAGTTACAGGTGCTCCAGGAGGATTAGTTAGCCAACACCAAACTGGCCCTATACCTTTACACTGCCCCCCAGCTAATAACCCTACACAATGTCAGTCCCTGGATTGCTGCCTTTTGCATGTTTTTCCATACTGGGGACTGCCACTTGCCTGACAGCCTTCCTTATACACGTCTTCGAGCCCTGCCTGCAGCTGCCACCACCTTGGAGCCAAGGTTCAGAGATCAACCCAAGAAACCCTGCTGATCTCTGCTGATTCATTCCAGGTCTGTGCAGGAGTATCTGCACCCCCCCTCTCTGCAAGCATGGTTTGGAGATACTTACCCTAAGATCAGTTCACAGTAAGATCTGCATTATGTTGCCATGTAATGCGATTATATGGCAGGGCTTGCCATGTACTCTGCTTTGTATCTCCTTTGCAGAAGTGAGTGACCACCAGCATCCCTGAGGTGTTTTTGTTTTATCAATGCCTTGACGGTCTTTGAGAGTGTAGCTCTTTCTTGCCTATGCTATACTTTTATGCTTGTGTTTACTTTGTAATTGTAAAATTTACCAAAAGATTAATTAGATTTTTGGTAAGAAGCTGTTCCAGTAAAAGATTTTTCACATTCAGATTTCTCCTCTTAACGTGTTGCCAGGAAGTCAGCAAAGCTTATAAAGACTGCGTGCTCTTCTGTGCTTCAAGAGCTCAGATATGCTTGGATAGAGGTGGGGGAGTTTGTTAAGTTTTTGATATAGGAAAAATGTACTAAAGAGGTGGTATGAAAAAAGCAGTTGCAAGGGAAATTCAAATTGCCATCTGTGCATTTCCTTTGCTAACAATATTGCCAACTTTTGTTTAACAAACAGATGAGCCCAATGTAAAATTACGAAGAGCAGACAGTAAATTCGACATATGCCTCAAATCATTTGATCAAATTTTATATACAAACCCAGAAGGAAGACAATTCAATTTTTATAGCATGCTGGTTTATAGTAACGTTGGAAAGAATACCCCTGAAATGAACGTAAGATGATATAGATGTAAGATGATGCAGGCAAAGAAATAAGTGCCTGTTCTCGAGTAGAAAGCAAAGCCTTGGCAAGAAGGTTAACAAGAGTCTGAAGTTATGGAATATCTTACGGTGTTTGAAGAAAGTAAACTCTATTTGTACCAGCAGTCTCTTTTGCCTATGGCAAGGAATCCAAGGAATACGTAATGAGGTGGTAACAGGAGCGTGTGCCTGTTCAGCACGGCAGATTCACATTTGTCAGAGCATGGTAGTTTCCCCTCAGCCAGATCCAGGTTCTCTCTTCAGGGTCTGCATCAGTTGTAGTCAAGAATTTACTGTCATTATAAGCCACGTCACCAGCTGCTTTTGAATATATTATTTATCTTGGGTATTAAATATGAGGTTGATTTTCTTTTTTTAAAAAAAGGCACTCTTCAGGTGACTGCCAGAAGCAGAACAGCAGTGCTAAGATGAGGTGCTTATAGGCCAGTTCCCTCTGCTGGGACTGAGCTGTAGCCACACATGACTATTCTGCAGCACGTCACATTTAAGCCCTCCAAACGTGTCTTCCAGTAGTGCAGCTGCCTGCACCTTCTGCTGCCTCCTTCCTAAAGGTACCACCTCCTCACTACTGCTGCTTCAGCCTGCCTGTTCTCCTACCTAGCTCTACGAAGGGGTCCTTACAAAAACCCCAGCGCTCTTCCCCATTTTATTTGCTGCTTAAAACGTGGCTGCAACAGCAGCCTTCAGCCACGGGCTGCAGTGGTCATCTGGGGGCAGAGGGAATATTTAAGCTGGGTCTCCTGGTGATGTGGAGCCACAGTCATAGCCAGCCCTGAGCTTGGTGCTGATGTGTCTGCTGTACTCCCGTCTAAATCAGCTTGTATAAAGCCAGCTCGGTAATTTCTACATTGCACTGAACCGCACCACGTATACCTACTCAGTAAGAGTGGCAGAAGCTTGCTGTGCTGTGTTTATGCCACCCACATATCCTAGCATGGAAATTTAAGGAGACAGCAAAAAGAGCAGCAACGTGATACTCTGTGCACTAAAATCCTCATTAGAAAATGTGCTAGAATTATTATAAGGAAGGCTGATAAGACTCTGAAGAGGCATTTGGCTGGAACTAAAGATAGAGAATTTCAGCATCTTTGAAAAGATGCAAAACATTCAAAACCTCAGAAAGAATCCATAGGTGTGTGACGTGGTTTGCCTGCCTAGGTTGTGCCTCTTGAGCTTCACACTGTGGGTCAGATCTAGGGAAGGCATCAGAAGGAGGGCTTTCACAATGCAGTTTTTAGTTTCAATTTCAGATTGTAATTTAGATATAAACATCACTCTTTCCATTTATTGCAGGTAAGCAAAAATTTAAGTTCTTCTTGAAACGTAAGGCTAATTTAGTTGGTACACGTAACACACTAAGAGGAAAAAATGGTCCTAAAATAACTAAGATTTTTTTCTTCTTTATTTTACTAGCACAGTTGCTGAGGCTGAAGGAATTGAGCCACTAGTAAAAACCCTGAATGCTCAGAGGGATGGAGCTGTTGCTAATGCTGCTGCAGTGCTGACAAACATGGCCATGCAAGAACCCTTACGCCTAAGCATTCAGAGCCACGGGGCCATGAGTGCGCTCGCGGAGCCGCTGCGCTCAACCAACAGCCAAGTGCAAAGCAGAGCTGTGCTCCTTGTGGCTGCCTTGGGTTGTGATGCTGATGCCAGAGCCGAGGTAAAAGCCCTCTTCAAGGCCACGGTTGTTTATAACAGTTTTGAATCCTGAGGTTTGTGCCACACTTACCAAGCTTGCACAAATTCATGCTATACAGATTCTAGTGAAGCTTCAGCCGTAGCTATATCTTAATCTATGTTTACGGGCATTAAACAGGAAGGTTTCTTTCTGCAACTCTTTCAGCTGCAACTGAAGGCTGTATTTTGAAGATGAGAAGTTCTCTTTACTCTCCCTCAGTGTTTTATTGCTGTCTGCTTTCAAGGCCCAAATGGCAATGCCTGACTTTGATTTATGAGATACTGGATGCGAGTGGAGTAAATGTAATACAAACAAAATTCAAAATATAATTAATCCCTTGATCAGTAGCATCCAGCAAGTTGAACTTTTCACTGTTTATCAATGGTCATATTATTTTCTTTTCATAAATAAGGATGGTGCTGTGTGCATTCATAGATCATAAGCTAGAGATTTCTCAAGGGTCAAAGCTGTTAATTAGGACATGAATAAGGGGCATAGATAATCAATCTACCTCTTTCACTGTTCTTAAAATGTTTTTCTCTTCAGAAATCCAAATGAGCAATATTTCCTCCAGCATGTATAGGAAAGATACTGTGGCACACAAGAGAATAGGATGTTAATAAGATTGTCATGCATACAGTACAATACAAATTCAAATATTTTGTGATGTAAATTAGTTGCTAGGAGGCAGCAGAAAGCAGAAAAGAGCTGGATAACTCTCCATGGCAGTCTTGGGTTGCATGGGCTTTTCAGTTTCTGCACCGCAACCTAATAACTGAAAAGCAAGCCAGAGCCAAAAGAGATGTGGGTCTTGAACCACTCCGAAGCTCTCTTCAGCTCCAGCCTGCACAAGGTTCACAGGAGCAGAGAATTCCTATAAATGTCTTTCTGCCAGCCCAGCCTTGCTTGCCTACAAGGCTTGAGTGCTTTGGATGGAGAATTTGATAGGCTGTTCTTGCTGGGATGGAATAGATGAGTTGTGTCAGCAGCAGTGTCTTTGTGTTTTTGTAGTTAAGAAATGCAGGTGGACTGGGACCACTTGTTGAGCTGCTGCATTCCAAAAACAAAGAAGTCAGAAGAAATGCCTGTTGGGCTGTTATGGTCTGTGCAAGTGATGAACTCACCGCTGTCGAACTGTGCAGGCTGGGGTGAGTAGAAATAGTATCAAGGGGCAGAGGGAAGATTTTAATGAGAGAACTCTGTTTAAGTTGGTCTTTATGCATTTATAGCAGAACGACAAAGTTAAGCTATGCTTTTTGGCAAGCAGAAACTACTTTTGTACTACCAATGTTACAGTTGAAATGGCACTGATTTAAAGTAACAGAAATCTTAAGAAAAAATGCAAGTCTGAAGAAAGAACTGTCTAGAGTTATAAAAGTGTTTATTGTTCCTGTGACTGAGTTAGGCTTTATATCAAAGATGTGCTTATATCCATTAAAATTAGGGACTGCGAGTGCCTCATATATATGAAATTGAAATTAAGGTTTCAGGCTAAGTTCAATGCACAGCAAATTGTTTGTCGGGTTAGCTGCTGGCTTGCTGAACTGCCATGTAAAAGAGAATCAGTTCTATTCCTTCTTAGAAACTCCAAGATCCATATATTAATATCTGAATTAGAAAAGCTGTTTTAGCTGTAAGAATTAAGTCACAGGTCTGTTACACGGGGTGACTCTTTTATTGTTAGAGTAAAATATATGTAATTGCCCTGCTCCCTCTGCTGGACACTCCTCTGGTTACTGCACAGCTCCTTGCAACCCATCTGTCAGGGAATTCTGCATTCACCTTAAAAATGTAGGTCCGCCCTCAAAGGGGATGCTATCTGTGTGCCCCCTGGAACTGAGTCAGGTGCACTGAAATTTTTTTGCTCGCTCAGTGCAATTGTAAATACCAATTGTAAAGGGGTTTCGTAACATCCTGAGGTAACCTGTTTGGGTGCTGAAGTATCCTTGCAATTAGAAGGGTTTTTCAAATTCTGAATGTCCCTTGTGGTAATTCCATCCAATTGCATCTTGTCCTAATTTCAGTAGGATTGAATAACCACCTTTTTATAGCAGTTTGTTTGCTTTTTAAACTTACTGAATTTTCTCATGTTCCCTGGCCCTTTCTCAATTTCCTTTTCATGACAAAGTAAAAACATTGAAGATTGTTTTGAAATCTGGTATCATTTTGTCACACATCTCTGAATTTCCCTCATTTATTTATGCCATGTTGAAGTGCTGTCTCCCAGCCTGGATGAGGTACTTCAGCTGAGGTCATACCACCATCAAATAAAACTCAGTAATTATTTTCCCTATCTTGCATAGAGCACTGTTCTTATTTAATCCTTTCTTTGTGACAGTATCAGAGTAGGACTCTAATTTATGTGTCCTTCCAGTTTGACAGCATATTATTGATAATAATACATTAAGCATAGTTTTTCAACCAGTCAGGCACTACTTCATGTTATTTTCATGTAGATCATATTTCCCTGACTTGCTCATGAGTATTCAAATAGGAATATTTGAAAAGACTTATTAAAGTCAAAACATAGCTCAAAGTCAAGACATATCTTGCATCTACGTCTTGCACCTATACATTAAGTCAGTTACCCCATCACAGAAAGGATTAGATTGGCTTTACATGATTTGTTCTTGACAAATACATAATGGCTATTTCTTAACACCTTATCTCTTGCTTGCTTGCAAACTGATTATTTAATAATTTGATACAGTGTCCTCTGGAGACTGAAATTTGGCTGAATGATCATAGAATCATAGAATCATAGAATATCCTGAGTTGGAAGGGACCCTTAAGGATCATCAAGTCCAACTCTTGACACCGCACAGGTCTACCCAAGTTCAGACCATGTGACTAAGTGCACAGTCCAATCTCTTCTTAAATTCAGTCAGGCTCGGTGCAGTGACCACTTCCCTGGGGAGCCTGTTCCAGTGTGCAACCACTCTCTCTGTGAAGAACCCTTTCCTGATGTCCAGCCTAAACTTCCCCTGCCTCAGCTTAACTCCATTCCCGCGGGTCCTGTCGCTGGTGTTAATGGAGAAAAGGTCTCCTGCCTCTCGACACCCCCTTACGAGGAAGTTGTAGACTGCGATGAGGTCTCCCCTCAGCCTCCTCTTCTCCAGGCTGAACAGGCCCAGTGCCCTCAGCCGTTCCTCGTACGTCTTCCCCTCCAGGCCTTTCACCATCTTCGTAGCCCTCCTCTGGACACTCTCCAACAGTTTCATGTCCTTTTTATACTGTGGTGCCCAGAACTGCACACAGTACTCGAGGTGAGGCCGCACCAGCGCAGAGTAGAGCGGGACAATCACCTCCCTCGACCTACTAGCGATGCCGTGCTTGATGCACCCCAGGACACGGTTGGCCCTCCTGGCTGCCAGGGCACACTGCCGGCTCATATTCAACTTGTTGTCTACCACGACCCCCAGATCCCTCTCTTCTAGGCTGCTCTCCAGCGTCTCATCGCCCAGTCTGTACGTGCAGCCAGGGTTTCCCCGTCCCAGGTGCAGGACCCGGCACTTGCTCTTATTGAACTTCATGCGGTTGGCGATCGCCCAGCTCTCCAACCTATCCAGATCCCTCTGCAAGGCCTTTCCACCCTCATTCGAGTCCACAACTCCTCCAAGTTTGGTGTCATCAGCAAACTTGCTCAAAATGCCTTCTATTCCTACATCCAGATCGTTTATAAAAATATTGAAAAGTACCGGCCCTAAAATGGAGCCTTGAGGGACCCCACTGGTGACCGCCCGCCAGCCTGACGCAGCCCCATTCATTTCCATCATTTCCTTGGTTTTCCTTTTTAAATCTAGGTAGTGTCTTTGCCTCTTTGCCCTTCTCCACTCTTCTGGCTCCCAGCCTGTCCTCCCTAAATTTTCAAAGATAATTATAAAGAGCTCAGAGCTTGCTTTTGCTGTTTCATAGTGTACTATGGGGAAAGTCTTCTGCGTTACAAACTTTGTCTTCTCCGGCTTACTCTAGACATGCTAAGCCTACTGTTTTTACCTCCTTGTTAATATTGCTGCTAGGCATCTGCTTGCAACCATTATATCAAAACTGAAGCAAAAAAGGCAGCAGACACTTCAGTCTTTTCTGTGCCATCTGTTATGAGTTTTCTTCCCACATTGAGTAATAGGCCTACATTTTCCTCTCTGACTCGTAGCATATGAACCATTTATTTTTGTTTCAGGTCCCTGAATAGTTGTATCTCAATTTGCCTGCGGGTTTTTTGGTTTTGCACCTTACTTTTTCTTCCCTGTTGGAAGCGTCCGGGTTTCCATTTCTGCATGAGTCCTTTTTTGGTTTTCAGATTGTCGCAGAATATTTGGTGCTTCTGTGTTTGTCCCTTTTTGTCTTCTCTTTCCTCCAGATGAGACTAATGTGCAAATGTGCCTCTAATGTCATGTCTTGCTGTACTCATTAGACTTTTCTTTACCCTTTTTCCACTTGAAATTTCTTCCCTGCATTAGCTTACTTGCTGATTGCCTGATCTTGTTGAAATTTCTTTTATGACAAATAGCCTGATGGTTGTTCCACAGTTTTCTCCCAGTGCTTTCTTCTAAAACAGACGGTTGTCACTTGCCTTGTCTGCAAAACTTATCTCTGGATTTCTTCTGACATACCTTCAGAAGTCTACCCTGTAAAACATCCACAGCTGAGGCTGCCTGTGTAGTTCAGAGAGAGAAACAGGCAGTATAAATGTGGAGTTCATTTTGTATTAAATTTATTCCTTTGGATGTGAAGAATGTCTGCATGTGCATATATGCACATGCATGTGTTTGAGTAAGTGTGCACTTACATACTCAAACGTATCTCCCTCTTTCTTCCATTGTTTTTTCCTAAATATTTCCAAAACTGCACTATGTTATTTTCTCCTGATTAAGCTTCCTCCTTACTCCTTCTTAGTGAGCTTTTCCTGAGTTTCTCAGGTCAGAAGCTGTCAGTCTGTGGGTTTCAGCACCAAGGAATGAATCCCTGTCCTCCAGCATCCCCCTGTGATTATTTGTTTCTATTTCCATGCTGCAAAAGCACTGCCAGCCTGGTTGTGCTGATATAACTGCTTGTGCTCGTGTGCTAAACTGAGTTCAGCACATATCTGCCTAATTCCCCTTCCCCAAGCACAGGAACAGCCCTAAACCAGGATTCACTCCTTGCGTAATACTGAACTAGAATCTGCAAATGTATTGTATGGTCAGTTCTGAATATTATTCCTTTTACTCTAACATTTTTCTTTTTTTTTTTCCAGTTCTGTGTGATACCCAGCATCTTTCTGATAAAACGTTGTGGTATCCTGTCAGCTTTTCTTTATGTAACTGTTTAACTGCCAAAAGGAATTCCTTTTACTTTTGGCACCACAAGGCATTTTTCTCCTCTAGAGAAAGAATTCAGTGTAGCACATCCAGCTCCTTGCTGGCCCAGAGGACACCAGGCTACCAGCTGGAAATGAATCTGTACCTTAGCCTTTGTAACGCTAACTCTGAATTGTGTAATAGCAATTAATGGTTACTTAATGATGAGCTATTGTATTTTGTTTAACAGTGCTTTAGACATCCTAGAAGAAATTAATCTGTCAACAGGGCGCAAAAATAACTTCAGTGAAGCTGCTTTGGAAAAACTACTTGATAACAATCTTTCCCAAAAGTACAGCCAGATGGGTTATTTATCATCAAGTAATATCATTACTGATGGATTCTATGATTATGGTCAGGTAAGCTACTTTAAATTACTCTACTTAGAAAGAGTAAAATTGTCCTCTCAGTTTAGCAAAAGTAAGAGGTCTGTAGCAAAAGCTAGAGTCTGACTACCTAAAATACCTTGGTGTGTTTTCTTGTCCTGCAGTTTTCCAGCTTTTATACTAATTTCTTTTGATTATCTTTCCTCATGGTTGAAATCTCATCATCTTCATACTATTTTCCAGTTGCAATCTTCTTCCCAATCCTGTGTAAGCAGTGTTGCTCCTAGTTCCTTTCCAGAGCCTTTCTCAGACCTCAGTTCTTCTGGTCTCTTTCACTGCAGTGTACTTAATACTAACCTGACACTGAATGACCCTGTAGACTTCTAGTTTATTTATTTTTACATAAAGAAGGGTTCGTACTTTCACCTTGGTCATGACCCTTTCTTTCACGAAGCACTGTTTATATATAAAGACTGACCCCACTCTGTATCCCCAATTACTGCTCTGTTCAGTTTAAATCAAAGAAATGCTTTTCAAAATGCCCAGATGAATTAGAAATACTATTCTTACTGAAAATCAGTGAAAGGCATGCTTCCAAAGCATTTGGTTGCTTTTGAAAATTTCATCGTAAATTGTAAAATCTTCAGAGGCAGGAACATTTCCTTATCCTAGATTTTACAATGACATAATGACAATAATTACAAGTTATATTACAAGTTAGAAATGGAGTAAATGTGAAAATGGAAGAAACTGATTTCATATATTTTGAACAGGTTTTATAAGTTCTCATGTAAGTCTTCTGTTAAAGATTGACTCTTTAGATACCTTTTTAAGATATTTTTTGTCTTCATCTTTAACTGAGCAGAACGCCTTACCTTTTATTTTAATTTTCTTGCAGATAAAACCTGGAATTAAACTTTTATCTTTGGAGGAACTGAGTATGCAAGAACTTACTGACCGTAGGGCCACAATCTTCATTAATGCTAAACCACAAGAAGAGTAAGTCATGTTTGATCTACCAACGTTTATTGCAATAACTCATTTTTCTATCATTTCCACTGCTTCCAATATGAAACTACTATATAGTTGGTATTGTGAGAGATCTGTTTTAATCCTAGCACTCTGCTACATGTCCTAAAAGGCAAAAGATTTGTATTTTATAAAATAGGTTTTTGGAAAATAACTTTTTTTCCTGCTAGATAGAAAAGATTCATTCACTTGAGTCAGTCTACTTTTCGTTAGAAAACTTAGCCATGAAGACTCATTCATTTAACACCCTTTGATTTCTGATGATGGGACACCAGTTATTTTATTAGTTATAACAAAGCTTGTCATCTGCTGTAATAATAATGTCGTTGAAGCTGAATGTCAACAAGCAACAATGAAATCTGTGATTTAATGGTCTTCTTGTACAGACAAATGCATGGAATTTTAAGCATAATGTCCCAAGAGGCTGTCCAAAGCTTTCAGGCTTGATAGAGAACCTATGTCTATTTCTTCTATGTTTAAGTTGAAGCCAACCTAACAAATCTTCTTAGATTTGAATGCAGGAAGTTGGTATTGAGCTTGTTTAACTGGGACTCGTTTCCTATAAACAGTCTCAGAGATCAAAGAATGCTCTACCAGTATTTTGCAAGTCCAAAATCATCTTCTCTGTCAACACATCACATATTTGGTTTACAGTGTCATTAGCTTTCCTTTTAAGCTTGTATATGACAGCGTAAAGATGTCTGAGAATATCTATGACAAGTTAACCTTCCATGCTCTTTGTCAATCCCTAAGCTTGTCTTTAACTATAAGGTTTTCTTTTCTTTGACTCGATACAGCTTATTGCCTTTGCACCTTGGCAGCAATCTTACTCTACAGTTACTTTTGTGTCCATCATTGGTATCCCATATTTCATTTCTGATCCCTGAATCAATATCAGGTTTATTAGTTGCTATGTTATTCCTTCCAGTTATATATTGCTTATGAATATATTTACTGTCCTTTAAAATCAAAGCTCTATTTTCATAGCTTAACGTACTATACAACCTTTACAAATAATGCAAAAACATCTTGCTCCATTTCAGTGTCCTTGCAGTAGAGGAAAAGCCACAAAATTCATCTTATGAACAGACTACCTTGTCACCTGTTTCAAGAAAAAGCAGTAGAGAAAAATCAAGGTATGGTCTTAAGATTTACTAGTTGTCAATGTTCGTGCTACCATTGGAAATAGAATTCTGGTTGAAAATAGTGATGAACAGTTTCCTAACAGAGTACAATAGCTCAAATACAATGTTAAATATGTTTTTAGAGTCTTTCTTTCACATCCTAATTGCACTAATCTTCCTTTGTCTATCTTAGTAGTTATTTGTCCTCCCCATACTGTATTAGAACATCTCCCATTTATTTGGCTGTTTTTTCCTTTCAGTATCCTTAGGAGACAGTGAAATGCAATTATGTTACAGCTTGACAGCCAAGACACAGGGAAATGAGGGTAGTTCTTTCTCAATTTAGAACATACACCTACAAAAAGTTCCTATACTGCCTACATCCATCCTTATTTCTAGATAAAAAGTCTTCCAGTGAAATTCCTGACTAAAAGCAGAAAAGGATGTGTTCAATACTGTCCCAGTTTTGACAGCAATGAGGCTAAAAATGCCTCATACTTGCAAGGCTCCCTCCAATCCGTACAATTCAGTAGGTACAGCCCTAGCAGGCTTTTTTGTGGGACTGATCTGATGGGCATGTCTGCTGGTACCAAATAGGTCTGAATCTCTAATGTTGTGGTAAACTTCATTTCCCTTCTGTACAGAAAGAGGATTTGAGCCTACCCCTCCCACCTGCACATTGATCATAGGTTGCTTGGGGTTTAGCAGTCTTACTCTGTTTCATTGTAGCTTCACTAGCTTCACTAATGATGAAGCTTAATGAACAGCGCTTTCTGCTTCAGCTGTTAGGACATTTATCTGACAGAGCCGAGACTGAAGTTCTAGTCCCAGTCATAATGACTTTTAATATAAAATATTTAACCCTGAGCTTGTTCCTGTGGAAAAGAAAACTGGACCGTGGTCTTCCAGCTCAACCGGTGAACTCCATGTAAAACAGCAGCACAGTCATCACCACAAGGGTGCCTTTTAGAGAAGACAGGAGAACACACCTAGTTCCAGAGGATTGTTCAGAAGAGCAAAACCAGTCCAAATACAGCCTCCTTGCAAACAAAGGGATGGTATCTAATCCTTGATAGTAATGTGATGCAGCCTAAAACTCTACTCAGCTTTCCTGTTAGCTCACTTAGGCAGCCAACCGTGCATCATGCTGGTTTCTGTGGGACCCAGTCCTGACTTCCAAATTCTCCTTGTTTTGTGGTACAGGGGTTCTTGGCTCTATCTCAGGGCTGTGAATTCTAGTGAGTGATGACATTACAAAATGCTAATAAAATGCATAACAAAATGCAGGGTTTGAGTAAAGAGTGTCTGTCATAGGAACTGAGGTACTGTGTTTGCAATTTTTGGCTTGAAGCTCATCCATGAACTATGATATGCTACTGTCTATACAGACCTTTAATTAATAGAATTGTTGATTTCTTACACTGTTTATATATTTCTGTGTATGTATGTATCTGTGTGTGCGTGAGAGGTGAAATTTGCAGTAAGAAAGACGAGAGAAAATGGGAACTGACCTTGCTTTGTGTTCTCAATAGCTTACTGGTATCTCCAGTAGAGGAAAAGCAGGAGCCACCTGGAAGGAGATCTTCGTTCAGCAAAAGTAGCAGTAGAGAAAAAGGCTCAAGGTATTACATTCTGAATTGTGTGTGTATAGGTTCATTAAGAACTGCAGTACAAATTTTTGACAGGTAATAGCTACTGAAGGTGAAGAGTTGAGGTTCTGACTTTGAACCAGGATCCAAATTGTGAGATTAATCTAGCCAAAAGTTATTGAGCTACAGGACAGCATTTACATTTGGCTGGTTATTTGTGCTGCGAGCACTTCTGGAATTCAGTTTAAACAATTTCATATTAAATACCTGAAATGAATCACATTGTGGAAGGTTCCTATTTCGGGATGCAAAAGAATAAATTCTGCATCGTGAGTGTCCAACTGGGCCTATTCTAACTTCTGCTCATTTGGAAGGTCCTCCTGATGCTCAGCATGTTTTGGCCATGACACACTAAGCATATGCCAGTTTACTTAAATACAGCAGGAGAGATGGGGAGAGATCAAGCCAATGATATTTGCTGTGCACTTGTGGGGCATTTCTTCATTTCAGAAGAAGCTCTGGAGACTTAGAGCATTTTGCATAGTCTCAAAGTACAGAGCTGTTCTGACAAGATCGTGTATTTGTTTATTATTGTGTAAGGTGAGGATACCCTTAGATAGTTGCTTTTTAATGTAATTTATGTCAATTACACAGTAAGTGACTGCATTGTTAGCGATCATAACTGTTCCAGAAAGCAAGAAAAAAAAATAGGAAAAAACAAATGCCTGGCTCCATTTCCCTGTAGTAAACTTGCAGGGATACAAAGCCTTCTTTCTTCAAGTATGAAATAATTGCTTTTGAATGTCATGATCAAGTTGTATGATTTATAACCCCATTGTCATTCATTTTGAATCCATAATTCATACACCATTATTACTATTAATTTGTGAGATATATGGGAGTTACTTGAAGGTCAATAGCTGACTCCAAGTCTTGAACATGCTTAGACTTTTTTCTAGATATTTTTTTCCTTTGATCATACATTTTTGTTCATCATTATTTTGCAGAGTACCACTGAACACAGTTTAAAACCATTGTTTTTGAAAAGTGATACTAGTTTATATAAACTGTAGTTGAAAGCTAAGAGAAACGAGAGTTATAATTGTCTGCTGGAAGTGTTTGAATTAGATGTAGAGGAAATGCCTAGTTGATAGTTTGACATATATTTGCATAGACAGATAGCAACATTTTTGATCAAACAGTTGTGTATCTGATATACACAATGACTGAGCTAAAATGTTATCTTTAATGTAGACTGATATATGTGTATTTCTTCCACACTATGTTCTCGTAGAGCATTTGAGGAAATACTTTCCAATGCTCATTTACTCCATTTTGAAAGACAGACGAGAGGTTAAGTTATGCAAAAAAGGAAAGAAAATAGGCGTCATGGCTGTCTTTTGGTGGTAGAACAGTGCATTGGCTGCCATCTTCCTCACACTGATTCTCTGCTGTTGCAGGACATTTGGACTGAACTTATAGCAGGAATCCTAATAGCTTGGAGACTATTAATTGCCATTAGTTCTCCTTTTCTATGCTCCTCTGCATTTGCAAAGAGTGCAACCACTTAGCAGTGCAGTTTTCATTGGGAAGGTAAAATATTGGGTCTACAAAAGGGAAGAGCTGGGGAGAAAAAGAGGAACAAAAAGGTCAAGGAACAAGAATTATACTATCTATAGAAGTCTGTCATTTTGAAAACTTGCCAAATCAGACATCAGAGAGGTGGGAGTAGTTCATTTTGTTGTTGTTTTTAACAGGTTATTCTCAAGCATTATGCCTACCTCTATAAGTGGACAAGTAGGTAGTGGTTTAATCTACCTTTATAAGGTTCCCTAGCTGGAGTTAGATAGAGTCAAATTAGATAAGGAAAACAGTTTGTCTCCTTTTCTAAGTGTAAGTATAATTAATAACCAGAACAGTTTATTTAACAGGGTGGTGAATTTTCTATAATTTGAAGATTAAATCTTAATTGGTTGTCCTTCTAAAAAATGTGCTTTATAAAATCTATGAAAAGGTCTTTTTGTGAATATGATGAATCTCAATAGGTAAAAGAAAAGTTTGAAAAGTAGTCTAAAGACAAATTGCTTGAATTAGACTTCTGATAATGGTATATGCCTTTCTGATTTGTACAATACCTTCTTAAGAGTGCTGTACATTGTAAAAATTTTAAGAATAATTTGAAGACCATACAGTAATGATATTGTGCCCTCAAGCACACTACTCTCTGGTGGCCCTTTCTTTCTTTTCCTTCCAAGAATATTGGAAATATTCTGGATTTTTATTTTTCTTTAAAAAAGCCAGTCCCGTTAAAGAAATAGAAGACATTTTGTCATATTTCCCACTAGAATTACTCAAAACCTATGTTGAAAAAAGACATGATGCTTACAAAACACAAATTCTGCTTGTTCCCAGAAATGAAAAATCCTAAGCTGTCTGATTGTATAGATTTTAATGATACTCCTGGTAAGATACTGATTTTGTAGTTGCTATGAAAGCTGTGAAATGCACAGTATTTTATCTAAGCAAAACAAGCATTTAAGTTATACTTCTGCTATTTGGTTATGGTACCTGTTCAGGATTTGGACTTCAGAGATTACAGTACTCTAAATAACTGTACATTGTTTTCTATATAAGAAAAGGGAAGGGGAAAAAAGAAGAGGAAAAAATGATAGATGTTACTCAGGTTATATCCAAAGTCCAGGATGAAATAAATCAAGAAAATGCACAATGGCAAGCACCACCTGACTTCATTTTACTGGATTATATTAATGATGCTTCTAAAACAATCCTACCACTCACTACTACGCGGGAACAGGTTGTGGCTCTTGCACAGTGAGTACCAAATTATATTTCCGTAAGTAATGCTGATATGTTCATTTGGTAGAATACTAGCTTTCTCATCGCAGGACAACATTTTTCAGTTTATATTTCTCATCTTTACTTGGAATCCAGATCAGCTTTGGCCCAATGTTATTAGAGAACTTGTTTCATGAACTAAGTCCACTTCCATTCCTCCTCACATTCCACCTATTTTGTGATAATTCAGGTTGCCTTTATTCTTGGTTGTGATCTTTGCTGTGATAATACCCTGAATATTGTTGAACAGCAATCCAACATCAGTAATTAATGCTTTTTTCCTCCCCTGAATTTTAAAACAAAGGACTAGAAGGAAGCACATAAAGCCATTCTTTTGTCACTGCTACTTGGGTATGGCCCAGCACAAACAGGAGTGCCATGAGCACTTCTGTTGACTCCAGTGAGTTTTGGATGAGGATTGAAAAACTGACTGAAATGCAAAAATTCAGTGCTCTGCAGGAGAAAGTCCAGATTCCCAGGAGATGTCCTTTTAGTTCCTTGCACCTGGAACTTTATACAGTTTGCATTTACTTTTAGGCAGCCCTATGATTGTCAGGTGTTGAGAGGCCTTTGTGACCTTCTGCCTGGACCTTCCCCAGACAGCTCTTTTCCTCTCCATTTCTTCCTTCCTATACCTTCACCGGCACTTCACGGCAGCACATGTAGGCCTTCCCAGTAGCTGAGACAGCACAGCAGCCGTTCACATCTGGGGAATGTGCCAGCCTCGCTGTAGCCCATGGTGGGCAGAGGCTGGAGGGCCTGGCTCTCCTGGGGCTTGGGCCCAGCTGGGGCCTGCGACAAAACTCTGTTTTTTGTTTGTTTGTTTGTTTTTCTGTAGACCCAAAAGCACAAGACATTTTTTTAATGTAGTTTTTAGGTGCTGCTGTAATTAACATCCCGATGTTTAAATAGCAGCAGAAGATCACACTGATGTGTGCACAGACCGTTGTTATCAATGTGTGATTCATTAGTTACCCCGAGTGCTCGGCCTGGGCACCAATCACTGTCATCTCCAAGCAGTGTGGCTGCTTTCATCTTCTCCTCAGTTTAACCTTTACTATCTCACCAGTTTCCTGGCTGCCTCCTGAATCTGGAGAGTTTGGCGTCAGATCCCGCTGAGTCTCAGAATTTGTTTCTTCTACTAACCTTCATTTTTAATGAAGTGGTCTGCTATGATATGAGGAATGACTTTTCCATTGATTGCAAAATTTGACAAGACAGGTATTCATCCTTAACTATCCAGCTGTGTATAAATTACGCTGCCTTCCTCAAGGTGGAATCCGTAAAATACTCTTTCAAGTCCGCTCTTCACACACACCAATGAAATATTTGCAAATACACAACCCAGTGAAAAAAAATCATCAGGAACGGAAGTAGTATATTTTCTGTGGGGATTTTTATACGCATGTGGCATTTTCAGTGGCTGCCTGGGTGGCGTGAGCTGAATGGGAGGGGAAGGAGGGGGCAGCTGATGGAGCCCCCAGCAGCTTGGGCAGGGTCCCTGCTGTTGCTTGCTGGGCGGGAGCCGGCGTGGATTAGGGGACATGCTGTGGTGCTGGCTGCACCACTTTAAACAAGCACAGCACCTTGTTGTGCATGCATGGGAGTGGTGTGCATGCAGGCTTGGGAAGCTTTGTTCCCTTTATTGAGGGCTGGCTGCAGGCACAAGCAGTGCAGATGAGTGCTTGGAGCCCCTCACTTCTTCAGGCTCACCCACTAATTCCCAGGTTAAGGATATCACATCCAGTCACCTCAGCTCCCTGTGCCCATGCTGTTGGTACCGGCACCTCTGTAGGCCCTAGATTTTTAGAAATAAGGCCCCTGCTAGTGCCTCGCATTTACTGAAGCCAGAACCTGCGCACAGAGAGTTAATAGAGATGTGGTGGTGCAGGTTTTCTCCTGGTCTGAGGCAATGGCCTCAGATTCCCATGTCAGCTCTGCAACACTTTGTCTGGAGTTACAGCCCTCAGTAACACCCATGTCTGTGTCTGAGGACACCGTGAGGAATGAAGGTCTTTACATACAGGAGCTGCACAGGGTGAAGGTGTGGGTAAGAGGAGCCAGGGACTTACAGATTGGGGGTTGATCCTATCTGTGCACAATCACCCCAAAGGCACTGTTTTGGGCAGTGTTTGCACAGATTGTGAATTCTGATCTTCTCTTTCTTTGATGGAGCTATTCTCTTTTATGGATAAAGACAGCCCCTTGCCCCCAGATGTTGGCTTTGATGTAAGAAAACACATGTAGAGGTTGAAGTACCCTTTCTGGATATCATTGCTTTCCTGTGTTGGGATCATTACCTTTATTTTGGTGATATTTATTCTCATGTCTTTATTATTACTTCAAATGAATGCTAGGGCTAAGGATTGTAGTATACATGTATAGCTCACATAATCCACTAGCTGTGAAGATGAACATTAGCTTCTGAACCACTTCTTCAATAAATTCACTTTTATTGATGATTTTCTCTGAGTAGTTGGTTCCTACATCAGACATCTCCAGAATCGCTGGCAGCTGCTGCACCTTGGCTTAGGTCTGTGACAAATGTGAATGACCTGAGTTAGGTTTATCTGGATTTAATAGCGAGCATATGTAAAATACCAGCTGCTGAATAAAACAATTCAAGCACACGTAGAGACAGTATTAATGTTTTATATATGATTATCTTGCTGTTTCTGTACATTTCATTTTGCTGATGCATTTTTGTAATAAATTCAAGAAACATTATAGATTTAATTGTTGTAATTGTAAATTTGTTGCAGGTTTGTTGCAGACAAGATGGGTGGTGCAATCGAAAAAGAAAAACTACATGACTTCAGCTGGGAACTTCATATAAGTGAAATAGAATATGAACTGAAATCCAATGTTGTGCCTATTGGGAAAGTTAAAAAAGGGACATTTTACCACAGGGCTTTACTTTTCAAGGTACATTAACATTTATTTTACAACACAGAGTTATTTCTGCTAAATGTATATTATAAACTAAAGTATACTTGCATCAGTATAATATAATATTTATATTAATGTAAAATCTTGTGTATATATTTAAGTCATTTTTTACTGGCAAAGTTGATTTTCCAGTGAATGAAAGCCAGCATCGCTTCGTTCTGTAAACATTCTTGTTGTCATTAAATTGTCTTAAGTGATATCAGCAGAATACTTGATAAATGGCAAAAAGCCAAGTTATTTGAATGGTAGTCAAAACATTTTACATTTTCTGTAAACTGTAAAATATTGAATTATGCAGTTTCCTGATTTTTTTTTTCCCATGCTGTAAATGTAAGCTTCTTGGGACAATTTCTATTCAGTATCTGTCCAGTATTCTGTGACAGAGTATAACAGCTTTTATGCTCCAGTTTCACGGACTGGGAAGCTTCATTTCTTTTTCTGGCTTCACGTAAGCCTGCTTATCTGTCCCATCCTCCTTCCTTGGCCATTGGTTAGCTGGACTTTACTCCTCCTTGGATGGAAAGGAGAAAAGAAGCAAAGGCCTAGGACACTAAGCCTAGGAGAAAGAGTACAATCTGAAATCTATGGTATACATGGGGAGAGAACATTCCTGACGTATTTTGTGGAGGTCTGAGGGAATAAATTATTTGTGCTGAAGCAGCACTGGTGTTCTCATACCCTCGACTGTTCTCTGACTGTGATGTTTACAAAGAAACCTTTGTAGGGACAGATCATCTCTCATAGAGATACATCAGTCTAAGCACAGGATATCTGTGTCCATTTGTAAAAAATGTAAAAAACTTTCAGGATTTCATTTCTGTGCACAGAATATGGTAAAAATTGTATTTATAAGCCTGCACTGTCTAAGCAGAACCAACAGCAAAGATCTGTAGTTCAGAACACCTTAGCGATTTACACAGTCTCTATCAAGAAAGCTCTTGGCCTTTGAAGTATTTCTTTTCTTTTTAAGCATCACTTGCTGTATGTTGCACAAGCTAAGTGTGATTAACACCTTTTTCTTTCCTTTTTAGGTAATAGCAGACAGAATTGGCATTGGCTGTAGTTTAGTTCGTGGCGAGTATAACAGAGCTTGGAATGAAGTTAAATTGGTTGATGACTCTCCACAAGGAGTAACTGGGCTTCTGCTTCCTCCTCAAGAGTATATTGTAGATCTAATGTTTGAGCCAGGCTTTCTGATGAAACAGGGAAGTGCAGAGGCAGATCAGTACAAACGTATTTAATCATCCCCAAATTTCTCCAAAATAAGCTTTTTAAAGATGACTGCAGTGTTGTTACTTATGAAACAAAAGGGGCTTGTGGTCTGGTTATCAAAAAGAAGCATATATTTCTATAGTCATTAGCTGAAAGATGTTCTTTGTTTCTGAGAACTCACTTCAGATGTCTGCATCTGGTACATTGTCCTAAGCATTGAATTAAACATACTTTACATAGCCAACCTCAATTCTTAGATATTTGTGGGGACTTGGGTGTGGGAGGTGGTACTATTTTAAGATTAAATTGTAAAACTATAGATTAAAATTTGGTAGATCAAGAATATTTGATATGTGTTAACATTATACTACTTATTAAATAGGTTTAAATTATTTCCAAACTACAGTATATATATATACATATATATATTTATTTTTTTCTTATGTTCTTTCAACCCCCATGCACAATTGCAGAAATTATGTGTTCATGAAGCAAGAAAATGTGATGTCTGGTGAAATAACAAGTCGTCTAAAAACAATTGCACATTTTTTTTGTGTGTGAAATAGCACAAGAACTGAGAATTAGAAGAATTAGGATAACAGTGTACTTTCAACCTTTGAAGAGGCTGAAATATAAATACCCCATTTATATTTCTTGGAACTTGCCAGAGTTAATAATTATGGATAGAAACATACTCTGGATGAACATAAATACTATTTGTCCTGACACAGAGAAGACAGATGACTGATAAGTTGCTGCATTCAATCTCCCTTTAAATTCTTCATTTTTCACTTGAAGATAAAATGGACTCTGAGAAGGGAGCAGTTCTGGGTGGAGAATTTGTACTTCTAACAGCCTTGGGTAACGTGGTGTTGCCAAAGTGTGATGGTGCACCTAACAGGTAAAACACTGCTTAGAACACTCCAGTAAACGCTTTCTGGTGAAGTTGTCAGGAATGTACTGTAGTATTTAAGGGAGCATCATTCAAAAGAGTATACTTAATTGTAGAAAAGTGACCAAAAAAAAACATACAAAAGTTAAGCCAATGCAGACAGTATTGCGCATAACTGAATTTCAGAAGAGAATGACAATGAGGCATTTACTTCCTGACCATCAAAAAAAAAAAAAATTGTAGTCTGTGTTTGTTTAATTTTTTGATGTTTGCGTAAGTCAAGTCACTTGTATAGTCTATTTTGGTTTAAGGAGGCTTATATCTGTCGTATTCAATACTGCTTATGAGTACGATGCCACAATACTCCCTCCTTCTTCCATTGACAAGCAGCATAATTTTTTGGTAGCCTTTTAGCCTTTGGGGAAAAGATTTATCTTTTTGTTATAAATTCACATTTATGTTATGTACAATTTTTACCTTGTGTTCAGCAGTAATGCAGAAATCAGGATGAAAGAACTCTGGAAACAAAAAATAGAATATACTAGCAGAGCAGAGTGGAAGGTGAGGATGTATTTCTTATCATTGCTGTGGTGCTGGCAGGAGACTGATGGAAAGTGATACACTCTCACTGACAGACATGATTGGATATAGAAACCTGCAACTTTCAGAGTGTAGTAAATGGCAGAGAATTAATTTCCTATTACCTCTCATTTTGTATAGATTTCCTACATTAGAATTTCATTATTATGTATTGGAACTATTGGCATTAAAATGCAACATTCTCTTTGTTTGAGAAGGTCTTGAAAAACAAAGCAATTTCAGTTGTTTCTAATAAAAGTCAATTTAAAAAGTAAGTTATTCAAAATAACTGTGAAACATCCATTCTAGACACATAAGCTTACTTTATGTAAAATAGTTAGCTAGGGAAATGAAAAGAATACTGCATAACCTTATATACTGCAGACTTTGATTCAAAAATATCAGATGGGGGTAGGTTTACGCTTTGCACAGTTTTTAGCTTTGTATTAGCTGAGTTTCTGTCACTTCATTTCTGACCTGGGTGTCAGAAATGAGATCTAGGATCTAGGTAGAAAATAAACATTTAAATCCCCAAAATTGTTATTTTGAAAAACTGGAGTTTGGTTGTCACATAAATCAAGAGATGCCACGCTTTTTTATTTGATGCTTTCTCAGAGACCTGTAGTGTGCCCACAATTTAGTCAAGAATTCCCCCAGCTTTGACAAAAGTAGTCCATGTCACACTCATTCCAGAGCTGAATCAGACAATAAACTATTCAAAAGTTTTTGCATTGCTCAGATGGGTAAATATTCCTAGAACATGCCTGGAGCGCACCATTTGGTTTGGGCCATGCATAAGTGGAGTGATGGCCCAACTTATTTTAAGGATCAGAGGGGGAAGGACCTCATATTTCCTTCTACATGACAGTTCAGGAGGCAAATGGGTCACTCAGGAAACGGAAGGAATCAGGCTTGATGCTCTCCTAAGGATGAGCAAAACAGTCTGCAGCTACCTAATTGTCAGGTTATATTCTAGCCACTGCTTAGTGTAATATTTGTAGTAGTGTATATTATTATTACTACTAATAGTATTATTATATTAATGAGTTATTAGTATATACATATAGATATTATTTATCTCTCTTGTTGAAGCACTGCTATCATAGAAAATAATATGCAGGATTAATAGAATAATAGACTATATAGACTAGTAGAGCTCATGTGGCACGGGTTTGGTAGCAGGGGCTGCAGGGGTGGCCTCTGTGAGCAGAGCCCAGCAGCTGCCCCATGTCAGAGCAGAGCCAGCTCCAGATGGCTTCAAAAGGGACCCACCGCTGCCCAGAGCCAAGCCAGGGAGCGATGCTGGTTAGGCCTCCGGGAGAGAAGATTGAAGGAAGGGGAAAAAAACCTGCTGCACAACAGCAGCTGGGAGAGGGGAGTGAGCACCAGCACTGCAGACCCCAAGGCCAGTGCAGCAGGAGGGCAGGAGGTGCTCCAGGCACGAAGCAGCAGTTCCCCTGCAGCCTGTGGAGAGGCCCCTGGTGGAGCAGGCTGTCCCCCTGCAGCCCATGGGTCCCACATGGAGCAGATCTCCACGCTGCAGCCCCCCCATGGGTGGAGGAGCCCCCGGTGGAGCAGGTGGATGTGGCCTGGAGGAGGCTGCGGCCCATGGAGAGCCCCTGCAGGAGCAGGCCCCAGGCCAGAGCTGCAGCCCGTGGAGAAGAACCCATGCAGGAGCAGGGGTCTGGGGGGAGCTGCTGCCCACCCGTGGGGGACCCGTGCTGGAGCAGTTTGCTCCTGGGGGATGGACCCCGTGGGACGGAGCCATGTGGGAGCAGTTCTTGACGAGCTGCTGCCTGTGGGCAGCCCTTGCAGGCTCAGTTTGGGAGCAGCATGGAGGAGTTTGGGAGCAGTGAGGGAGCAGCGGAAGGAAATCATCAGGGACTGACATTCAGCCCCCATTTCTCTGCACTGCTAGGGGTTCTTCAACCTGTTATGAGGGGTAACAGTATTATTTGGGAGAAAAGAGTCTCAAGTTCCTCGAGAAGAGGGCTCGAGTACCTGCTGCCAGAAGTGTTCTTACTACTGAGTGTCTACTGTAACATTTAGAAACTGTACCCTACCTCAACTAACACTGTCCTGGTTAGGCACTGCCCTGCAAGGTAAAAGGCTCTCTTAAGCAAAGACAGCAGGTGAAACTAGGTCTATTCCTCCACAGCTGTAACCAGTGGGCAATTATGTGAAAGTAGCTGTCATGACCAGCAGTTGTACAGACTGAAAACCAAATGAGACTTGTGCAGCTTCATGACAGACAAGAGTATATAGATGATCATCCCAGGACAGTGCTGTGGACCATAGACCCTTATTTGAAAAAGGCACCTCTAAGTCATCCTTATTGTGATGTCTGTGCTTCTGAGAGAAGCTAGGACAAAGACACTGTAGTCTTGGTTCCTCCAGTTCACTGGGAATAGCCAGCTTCAAACTGCTTCTGCCAAACGGAGGTAGCACCCTGCTCAGCGTGCTGCTCACTGCAGGCTGTTCCAGGGCACACCTCATACTCACTGCATGCGCACAACTGCCATTTGTTTTGATAAAAAAGAATTTTGCTTTTGATTTGGCATTGAAAAACACCTTTAATATATAGCACATCTGCATATCAAGAAATACAAAACTGGATTGTGTTGATGAAAGGTCAGACATGGTTTCGACTTTTCTAATGAATGTGAACCAGCAAAGCAGCAGACTGAAATCGGTGATGCTGTCAATGTGATTTTGGTTTGCAATAGAGCTTTTGATACGAGAAGGTCTAACGCTTTGACCCTGCACACTTCTCTACATTTACTTGTTGTTCATATGTGGCGAGCATCACAACTAATAGGATCCTAAATGAATAATTCCAGGCTTTTCAGACCACTTTGCTGGCTCAGATAAACCTCTAGCTACACAAATGGATTCTTCATTTTTTCCCCAAAGCAGGTGCAGAGGCAGTAAAGATCGCTGGCAGCAGCAGGACCCGCACTTCCATGCTTCCCCTCTGTTACCCTTGATCCCTGATCAGTGGGAGCATCCAGGTTAACTTCCACTTGTTTTATCTTTATGTTAGCAAGGAACAACTGCTGTGTAATTTATTGAATGAATACATTTCAGATATATTCTGATTTCCCATTGCTATGCTACAGCAACGGCAGAAGGCTGCCAGTATGTCACTCCCTCAAACTCGGTACTCCCTTGCACAGTAGCAATTTAGCAATTGAAATGAACTCTTTCTCCAGTAAATCTCTGTTACCAGTCCTGAGAAGGATCCAAGGGTCTCGGAGCAAAACAGGTGTTGAGTTTGAGATCCAAGAGGAACTTTTTCTATTTATTTATTTATTTATTTTTACATCAAGCTTGGCTTCAGGGGAAAACAAACAAACAAAGTCTTTTATTAGTGAATATGGATTTTGGATGGTGATGTATTATTTCATCCATAGCTCTATTGCATGAATCCACACCTCTTCTACTACATGATTCATTTCTCCACAAATCTGGCTCACTATCTTAGAAAAACAGAATCATAGAATGGATTGGGTTGGAAGGGACCTTAAAGGTCACCCAGTTCCAACCCCCTGCCATTGGCAGGGACACCTCCCGCTAGACCAGATTGCCCAGGGCCCCATCCAGCCTGGCCTTGAACACCTCCAGGGATGGGGCATCCACAGCTTCTCTGGGCAGCCTGGGCCAGTGCCTCACCACCCTCAGAGTAAAGAATTTCCTCCTAATATCTAATCTAATTTTTCCATTTTATTTTAAAACCTTATTTACAAGAGATAGTTACTGACCATTTAGCTACA